AAATTCCCCCCCTACACTATAATTTTAACCCCCTACGCTAAATTTTCAATACAACATAGGGGCATTGTGACTGTATTTCTTAATGTTCAAGAAAGCCAGATCAAATGTGAAAAATTACCAATCAAGGATACATTGTACATACCTTACCTTACATACATTTTTCCCTTTGGGTATCCCTCAAATGGCCCCTTTTTTAGCTCAATTTTTTAAAAGCTCCGCCCCATGTTGGTTGCTTCGCTCCCTTGACATGTGGCCAGTACCACTATGCTAAAATTAAATCCTAGCTATATATAGCTAGAACCCTGAACGGTGTGCCGATGGCCAGTGACCACTGCAATTTTAACTGGGATAACTAAAAAGACAATTTGGGACATATTTGGGACAATAGAAAAAAAATCAACATCAGAATGTCATCCCTTCTTTTGTACATGTTTAAAGGAGTACTAACCTCCAGAAGGAAGTGCTATTTTCCGATACATCATGCTGCAATGAATACATAACTAGCCGACTCTTTAGATAATTTCGCTTGTGCGTCTTGCGCGGCGCATGTTTGTAAAGTGATATTAATATCATTTTCCCCCATGCTGAACCACAATTGATACATCCGGGAACTCTGGCTTACGCAATACTCATACACTTCAGGTCAACATACACATTTTTCGAAGAAAATGGTAGGAGACAAGCACATTAACAAGCTGATTATTGAGAAATTACTTGCTTTACTTTGCTTGACCTGCGGTTTGGATACTATAATATCAGGATGTCGAATACAGTGGGAGCCAGTTTCATCCTGCGTGTTTTGATTTTCTCAATTTATTTGCATGTAAGTATTACTTGAAGAGATAATTAGATTACGCCACTTATGGAAAGGATAACTAGATTACGCCGTTTTTTTCATCGTCAATATTTGCGGCATAAATGGGGGGCGATAAGGACACCAAGAAGGACAATGGTTGGTAAGATACCAAAGAACACGAAACGGCACGAAATTTTCTTATCGCCCCCGAAATAAGGTCTGTAACGTAACTTTTTGTTTAAAACATAGACACCAATGGGGTAGCGTGGTGTATTCTGGGATACTTTTAAGGGTATTTCGAGAGTTTGTCCTGGGGTCGATGCGTTTTAAGACTTGCGCGCAAAATGGGCATTTAATGGTATACTGTAAAATAATATGCATTTTTCACTTCCAAAAATAAATGCCTGTCGAAATATAGCACCTCCTTCTGGAGGTTAGTACTCCTTTAACACTAAGTACAGGATGTGCAGTTGGGCAGTGTAGTAGGATAGACGAAATATTACATTATTGAGATTTAAGACATTTCACTTTGCACTGTTTACCTCTTGCATGACCTGAGATTCCTCCTTTGTAGCAATGTTAGGATGGAGAGGAGCAAAAATATCATGGTAGCAAAAAAATTGTGATGGAAAATCATATTGTCACATTCCTAGCTGAGATCTTAAGAATCACATATTGTCAACATATACAATGTAGTTCAATATGACTTCAAACAGTACAAAACACCATAGCCTGTACATACACTGCTGTAGTGTCCCTGCTGAGCGTACGCCCTCCCGCGGTACGTCCTGGCTACGGCGTTGTTGGGTTCCTGCTGCAGCAGGGCTGTGAAGTCATTGACCGCTCCGATCCAGTTCCCGTTGTTGAAGTAGTATAGGCCGTGCTTCATGACTGCCTCGGTGCGGGAGGGCATGAGGCGCGTGGCCTGGGCAAAGTCCTCCAGGGCCAGCAACATGTCCCCCTTCTTCTCATACATCTCAGCTCTGGGGAGGCAGGGACATATACAGATGTTCATCAATGCAATGTAGACAGTCAAAAACAGTTACTCAAGCAACTGGATATTATTAATTGGGAATGGTCAGACATTTCAGGTAGCTTCCACTACCTTTCGTCAGTGACACTGGAGAGTTGTCAGAAACATCTGACCATTTCCAAAATCATATCCAGTTGCTTGATTAACTGTTTTTTGGCATATCTCATTACCTGGATGTCTAACCTTCACCAACGTACCAATTTAGACAATGCAACATAGAGGTACAAAAGCTTTGTACCTGACTTGCAGACCCACTAAGACACACAAAAACACTAATTTAAAATACAAAGTTGACAGAATAATCTTACGACATCATATACAAAGCAGCTATTGGATGTGAGACATCAATATCATGAAAAGTTGTAAGAATATGTAAATAAAATACATTCTTTCGATTCTAAGGGAACCCACATGTACATTTACCATTTTTTCCTTTAAATACAGTAGTCTAGTCTAGATTTACTCAAAGCTATCCCCCCTGGTTGCCTGACCTGTAATAGTAAGCCTCGTGATCGTCAGGCTGCAGCTTGATGGCCTGTGTGTAGTTCACGATCGCTGACGTGTAGTCGTCCTGTTTCCTGTACACCTCCGCCCGCGACCGGTACGCTCCCACGTGCTTCTTGTTATGCTTCAGGATGAAGTTCAAGTCCTCAATAGCAGCTGCTGGCTTCTCCTGTACCAGATGAAGGAGGTGCCTGTGCCAGTAGGCATCCAGAAGCTTCGGTTCTAAGAGTATCGCCTTGCTGAGGTCGTATTCAGCCTTCTTGAGTAGTCCAAGCTTACGGTGGATGGCTCCCCTCCTGCACAAGTCAAATGGCGTCTCTCCATCCCTCTCTATCCTCTCTGTGAGTTGTCTGGCCTCGTCCTGGAGTGCTTCCACCAATGCTCTGTCCTCCTCGCGTTCTCCTATAGGCTCTATGCTCTCTATAGCATCAGCAGTGATGACCGGTGCGGTGGTGGGCTTTCTCTCTGTGTCCAGTTCACTGACCACGCTGGACATCTCAGACCAGCCGTCCTCACTGGAAGGAAACACCTCATCGAACCATTCGTTCCAGATGTCCCTCACCCACTCTCGCATGTCGGCGTCACCGGGCATGTTCCTGTCGCTGGAGTACTGCAGGAAGGTGGGGATGTTGCCGACACTCCCGCGGGTTCCAGTCCTGACATGAGGCGGGACTCGCAGCATGCGCTCCACGGGAAGGTCCAGCTTGGGGAGGGACGCGGACCGCTGCAGTCTGTGGTGTGTGGTCAGCAGCTCTTCCTGCAGGGAAACATGTGGACTGTGTCAAACCTGACTACAATGTCTAGAAAGTCATATGTCAAAAAATAATTCAACTAAAGAAACAGTGCCAGTACAGCTACAAACATTGACAGTATTTCTATGTTGTAATCCTCAGTAGTTGGTTCAAAGCATTTTAAGCCCAGTCTTCAGCTACTACAAGAGTGATCACTGACAAAAAGGAGTGGATGCTACTTGAGAAGTCTGATACATGTAGTTTAAAAAATTTATCCATGTTGCTGGAGTAACAATTCCTAGTGAATTCTTCAGCTACATACATACAAAGAACCATACAGTGCAGTTAGAAGAAATGCAGATTTCAAACAGTATCTCCTTACAACCATTACTACATTCATTGTATACATTTGTCTCGGTTTCGTATGTTGTTTTTTGTAAGGAACCTACCTGTATCTCCAGTGCCTTTTCTAACCCGATGGTTTTCTTGGCGGGTTTTTTCTTCTTCTTCTTGGGGTAGATGATGTACTTCATGCCAGCCTCCCGTGCCAGCTCGGCAGGTGTAGGTTTGGGAGGTTTGATGATCAGACCCTTCTCCTGGGCTGGTTCCTTCCCAGGGGAGGTGACTGTGGTGGCTGCTATAGCTGCTGGATCTGCTGCCTGGGTTTTACAACATTTAAAAAAATTATCTTAATATTTTGATCTTCAGCTGACAAAAACTGAAACTGGACATTGGTGATTTCTTTAATCATTATACATTCCCAAAAGACAGCTACAGCTCAGCATCAGAGTGCAAGCACATCTAACCATCAAAAGACAGGGAACTTAGTAACTTACTTGTACTTGAGTAGGTCTCCTCAGCTTTAGATAGGGAACAACAGACGATAAACCAGATAGTGAGTGAGTGTGAGAGAGCTGACAGTTTTCCTCATTGTTATGTTAAAGATCTTCATGGATTTAGTGATGATAGTCCAACATGAAGCAATCGATGTTGGAGGTAATGAAGCATTCTTGTATTGTTTTCTGTAAGTCTTCACACAAGGTATTACAATACTTGTAACATATGCAAGTCTCACCTCTTCCCCTGTGCCCTTAGCAGGCACCTGTCCCCTGGAGGCCTTCAGCTCAGATATCTTCTGTGCCTGGTACTTCAGCTCCCTGATGCTGGTGTCAAAGTCAGCGGGAACAGAGAACACCTCCTCCCCCTCCTCAAACAGCTGAGGGGCGGACTGGGCGCGTCTCCGCCGCACCACCGCCGGCGTGAAGATCTCATCGTCATCCAGCTCCCTCGTCTTCATGTAGAACATCTCAGATGTGAAGGATGCCTCCGATACCTCTTCTGTGGACAAGTTTAACAAAGCACTATGGTAAGAAAACAGTGACAGCTCTATAAACTTTTAACAAACTCCTCTCACTAGTTAGTTAATAGTTTATTGTGATCTTCATGTAGAACATTTCCGACGTGAAGGAAGCTTCTGATACCTCTTCTGTAGACAGGTTAAACATAACAATAGGGTAAGAAAACAGTGCCAGCTCCTCTTACCAGTTGGTTTATAGATTATTGAAGGATTCAGTCATGTGACAAGTTATGTGCCCATGTGGTAGCCTAGGCAGGGGACAGCCATCCTGTTTGTCCTTGTTGTGTTACACTCATTACTAAAGGCTCTACAACCTGAGAAGTCACTAGAGATTAACATGTAGAACTTCAGAGGTGCACAGATAGTCTGCTGAGACTGAACTGCCAAGACAAGAAGAAGAAGACAACCTGAGTCTACTATGTAAAGTCAGTGGAGCAACATCAGGTCCAAAAGCTGATTTTGAAACAATGCCTACTATCACACACTAAATACACAAACATGCTGACACTGCCTACCATCCCTAGTCTTGGTGGTGAGCCCAGAGGCAGGTGTAGGTGCGAGGGACTCCTCTGTCCTCTCAGGTGACGGCTGACCTCCCTGCAGGTCCCACTCCAGCTGCAGCCGGGCAAGCTTCGTCAGGTCAGTCGCTGACGGGTGCTTGTGTCGCAACAGTCTGGAATATCAAAGATGAATTATTCATTTTATTTTTATTTTGTTTATTCAAATTAAAATTCTGAGGGGAGTTGGCAACAGGAACAGTAAGTTAATCTCCCAGACTGACTCCCGTAGAGACACATAAAAAGACATACACGTTACTAGAGTTACTTGACCATGAAAGGGGAATAATAAGTAGAATACATGTACCTACAGAAGATCTCTAGAGTCTTTATTTACAGAGACTACAATGAAAGATACAGGTATATACAAGTCTGCTACATAATCTCCAATGTACTTACATGCAAGGAACAATATCACTTGGGAAAGCCAGAAAAAGAAGGAAGGGAAGATAATGTTAGTCAATGCATTTCTAACAGATGCTTGGACACATTGATTGCATTCCCATTGCTACACTAGTCTTGTAACTTGTAACAGTGGGGTTCAAGCACCGCTAACTGATCCATTTCAAAAGGTCTAGACCCATTGGAATGGATCAGTTACTTCTCCCACTTTTCTTTCAAGAATTGTCTTCGAATCTCCATGTTTGACATCCCTGTGTAGCACCTTTATTTTGGAATGGTGGTTTTTGTGGTGCTTGAACCCCACTGTTACACACTTCACAGATACATGAGTCACAAATCGCCCACAATCTTACCTCTCTCTCTGTTCCCTCTCCTCTGGGTCCTCCTCCTCTTCCTCCTCCTCCTCCTCCTCACTCTCCTCCTCCGAGAACTCCATCAGACTGCTCTTCTCCGGACTGATGGTCCCTGCCGTCTCCACGGGAACGTAGTCGGGACACACCCTGCTGCGGATGTAGGACGGGGGCAGGTCCAGTTTGGGCGGGGCGGGGGTCCAGTACAGCCTGGAGGAACAACCACAAACATCAGGCAAAATACATACAGTGTATTGCTAACAGCATGCAAATTATGTGAAGACATATACAGGCTGTACAACTTATTGGTAGGCAAATCACCCAATTGTCACCAACTTTTTCCTACCACTCACTGCATGGCTGGGGCTCTCATTCTTAAAAGAATTGTAGAAGAATTATGTTTCGAAGAAGCTTTGATAGGTGAAGATGCCATATATTGAGTAAAATTACCGTGAGATGTCTTCTTTGATGTCCATCTTCGTCCCATCAATAGAGAGATTTGGTCCCTCCACCTGTACAGCAGAAAAAGCAAGGTGTTATCAGCACATCATGATTCATTAATTCACCTATAACTTAAATGAGCCATTTGCTACTTCAAAGTGCTTGAAATTTTGAACAACTTGTTACTTCTAGCCAAAAGGCTGACATCAATTCCACACAGGAGGATGTTAACATGTCATGTCAACATGGCATACCATCTCCTGCGCCAGAGCCTTCCACCCCTCCAGGTCCAGTGGTTGGCGCGAGGGTTGGAGCTTGTCCATCACACGCTGCGCCGCGGCCTCAATCCTGTAGGTGTTGTCCGCGTCGCGTACGGTAGTAGTGACAGACGGCGCGACCCCGCTGTCTTCTGATGTCTCACTCAACGTCTGGGAACAGAAATATCAACCCTATCATACCGTGCAGAAGTTGCCTATTGCTACATACATGTACTGTATTCAGTATTGGAATAAATCTTTTAGGTCAATCATGATGATGTATCTTCAAAATCAGTAAATTTTCTTGGACAGTCAAATTTGTTCATACAGTCTGCTAAGGAAAAGAGCAGGAAGGATGGTGAAGGGAAAAATTAAATGTTCACTTTGTCACATGAAGTATTTTCATCTCTTGTTCAATCTACTTTCTGGGGTTAGCGGAAAAACTTGTCCAGTCTAGACTGGTCTAGGGGGGCAGAAAACCTGTCCAGTCTGAATAAAGGGTCTGCATGGGGGTTCCTGGCAATGCATAATGCTAAATTCAGCAGGATTTACCATGTTGTAACCACTAACTGTAATGAACAAACCTCGTCTGAGTAATACTCCGGCTGGAAGAACTTGGACCATGTGTGGTGGAACCTGCTTTGTTACATGAACTATTTCTCTTGTTCAACCCACTTTCTGTTAACTCCTTGTTTAGGAGTGCAAATCTATTACATGATTGAGATTTTTCACTCCCTACTGCCTTTCCTGGTTCTTTGTTTACCACTACAGAACAAACCTCGTCTGAGTAGTACTCTGGCTGGAAGAACTTGGACCATGTGTGGTGGAACCTGCTTTGTTACATGAACTATTTTCATTTCTTGTTCAACCCACTTTCTGTTAACTCCTTGTTTAGGAGTGCAAATCTAGTACATGATTGAGATTTTTCACTCCCTACTGCCTTTCCTGGTTCTTTGTTTACCACTACAGAACAAACCTCGTCTGAGTAGTACTCTGGCTGGAAGAACTTGGACCATGTGTGGTGGAACCTGCTGATGTTCCTGAGGTGTGGGGGCAGGACGGCTGCTGGGACGGACGTGCAGAAGTGGTGGATGGTGTGGGAGCTGTCACGCACTCTGGGCTGGACCTCCTGCAGATACAAAACAGAAACATGTTGCAAACATTCAAGGCATACAAAGACAAAATGTCAAGAGTGAGGTCAGCAAATAATCAGTAGCCCTTTTTCATAAACACAAATAAATACTTAAAGATAATTCTGACTTTCTTCAAATAATACTTCAAAACAGCTGAATCAGAAAATAGAAATTCCACATATACATGTAACTATAAACCCCGGACACAGACTTGTATAGTTATGTTGCAGGTAGACATCAGATATACACATGTATCAGCACAGCTCCAAATTTACCTGCACTAACCTGCATATAACCAGTACATGGACCAGTGCAGGTTAGGTACAGTAGACATCAGAAACACCTGTACAGCTCCAATTTTACCTGTACCAACCTACATTTGCAGGTGGTATTTCCAGCCCTCCACTTAATGTGGAAATCCTCCCTACCTTTGGCACTGTGTCCTCCTGAGGTGCCCTGAGTGCTGAGAAGGAGACAGACTGTGTGAGCGGCAGGACAGGTCGGGGAGGGACGGTGACCTGGGAGGGGCGGACGTCCAACACGCTCCACTTCTCCGACAGTTCCACAGGAAGTCCCTCCATGTTCACCACATCCTCATGGGTCACTTCTGCAGGCGCTGTCAGGTCCTGATGGTAGGAGACAAGGGAACAACTTTGTCTTGTTCCTACTACTACTACTACTCAAAAGTCAGTCTCAAAAGACTATGACTGGGGCAGTCAAGTCCTGATGGTAGCAGACAAGGGCACACCTTTCTCTTGTAAAGATATTACCTTTTTGAACAGTTGTGAGCATATGGGGTGAATTTACACATAGTTCAGCACCAAGGACAGGGTATACTGGTAGGCAAAACATCTGGAACTGCATGGTTTAGCATGTAACATGAAGTTTCACAACTAGAGACTAGAATTTTTTGTTGAATTCCATGTAGTAAAAACAGCAGTAATCCCCATTTCACTTTGGTTATGATACCATAACCTTATCCCATAAACACCAGTTGATGTCAGATCGAACATGGTGGAATATTTCGGGTTAGAAATAGATTCTGCCTAACAACATTTTTAAGTTTGCCCATCATCTTCGCTGAGAGCATATCATAATAGATATGCAATCTAATCTCACCTTCCAGGCCTGAGCCAGTTCTGCAGGTGAGATCTCCACCACCGCCGGTTCCTCCACCCCCAGCTGCAGCTCAGGAGAGAGGACCTCAGTGACTGATGGAGCCGCTGTGCTGACCTCTGTGCTCACAAACGGAGGGGGTGGGGGGAGGGGGGACCTGGCATCCGCCCCGGCCATGGGGGTGGGCTCAGCAACTTCAATGGTAGGAACCAACTATGGATACGGAACAAAAGGAAATTGTTTTCAGTACACTGGTGGTGGTTAAGTGCTGACAAGAGGCACTTCAATTATGTCATAACTATAGACTTAATATGTGTTTTAAGCTAAATATGAGTCTTCTATACCAAAATTAATGATTACAATGATTACAGGGATGTAGTATTTAATTTCACCTGATACACACTCATATTGCATGAATATCATATGTCTGTCAATTTAAACTAACAAGTTATTATAATTAGAAACATCAAGAAAACTGCTAGAAGTATATCAAAGTAAGTTTCAAAATGAATACAACAGTTATCATACCTTCTTCTCCTCTTCCCCTTCTTCTAGTTCTTCCATCTCTCCCTCACTCTCTTCTTCATCCTCTTCTTCACTCTCTCCTTCATCCACCTCCTGAAAAACATCATTGTCAAATACTGTACAAATTGTTAACACCTACGAACCTATGATGATTGCTTGACATATGTAACCAGGCCCTTAAAGATCACTATGTATTGGTCGGGGTTATACCGTCCCTTACGAGGTGACATACTAGTACCCTTTCATTAGCTTAATGCAAGATGGGGTTTGCCAGGCCTCTGGGTGATGATGTAAATCACCATTCTTAATGTGACAGATTGTACAGCTTGACTCACCTGTGTTGGTTCCTCCTCCTCCTGCACAGGTTTGGTGAGCGTTGTCTCCACTCCCAGCTCACTCAGCACGGCGCTGGCTCGAGTCATCACACGCTCCATGATCTCCTGGATCTTCCTGTCAGCCTCCGTCTTCACAGGGGCAGCTCTGTGGAATGTTTCATTTATTTTTATGTGAGAAAGGTACACACAGGTAACAAACAATGTTTCTCAGGTATTCATCAAAATCTAAAAGCACTATGGAGCTTGGTTGCCCATCATTGCCATTGAAGACTTCTACTAGCACTAACATAATAGTCATGAAAAGGGCAGGATGGGAATTTGGACATCTTTGACAGCCTAAGTCTTCACAGGGGCAGCTCTGGAAAAAGTTCAAGTCCTTCCCACACCATGTGGTGCATGGGGTGGTGCCCATCTTCGGTTCAGTAGCCATTGGGCCACACAGTTGTGCAATCACTACAGCAGGGGGCTAGTCCTCTGGTAGTGGTGTGTATTTACTCTTCCCATACTCTTTACCAAATGCTGAATGCTAAGCAGAGAAAGTAGGATGTACCATTTTTGAAGTCATTGAATTCCATAGCCTGGTATCTTTCTGTTTTTAGCTTTTTTCTACTTCACAACAGTTGCTAACCTTTACTAGCAATCATTGAGAAACACTAGGTCTGAAATTGATAGATACATGACATGTACCAGCATACAATGAAGTACATGTAGATATATCTCCAAAAATAAATAGACATTCTACCTTCCATCCTTAGAGGTTGCTCTTAAGGTGGCGATAATTTCATCCACCGATCTCTCAGCCTTAGCGGGAGGTGTGTCAGATTTTTTCTCCTCCTCCGTTGACTTGGACCTGCCCGACCCCCGCCGTGCCTTGTAGAGTGGGTCGGCCCCGGGAGCGGCCAGAGCCTCGGCTTCAGCCAGCAGCTCCTTCATGGACTTCTGGGAGGCCTCAGAGTCTGCACTGCCTGGAAAGGGGAATAAAAAATATATTTTACGGCTCTCAGTTGCAAATATGCTGATGTTGACACATTGGCACATCAAATCCTTAATATGTGTTTTTGGCACACAGTTAGACAGATTAGCCTAAGAGGCTCAGTGGATGTCAGTTAGGCCATGTTGATTTGATTATATGGATGACATCCTCCGGGAACCCCAAAATTGATGCGCGCGTGCGAATAAAAAAAAAGTTTTGCAAAAAAAAAAGTTGTTTTCATTATGAAATCTACGTGGTCATGAGGGTTGAACAAATGGGACAGAATATGGTTTGGCGAATAATCTAGTCTTCAAGTTCATTTCTTTACAATTTCGTCTTTTTTCGTTTGATTTTGGCATTCTACGACATTGGTATGGTTTTTTTGTAACTTACGGTATATTTTTGCTCATTTTGCAACTGTTTTGTACGATTTACAGTATGGTTGAAAACTTTTCTTTTTTTTGAAACGGCCGAAAATTCATGCGCGCGCGGATGTCATCCATATAATCAAATCAACATGGCCTTATCTCTCAGTCATGATCAGGTAATTCTACATCATTGATGGATCATGGACTTAAAGTAGTGGACCAGCCAAAATGCAGAAGATCGTCAGCAGTGGAAAACCTTTGCCAAGCATCATGCTGCCCCAACAGCTGACTAAGCTATGAGAGAGAGTGAGTGAGTGAGTGAGTGAGTGAGTGAGTGAGTGAGTGAGTGAGTGAGTGAGTGAGTGAGTGAGTGAGTGAGTGAGTGAGTGAGTGAGTGAGTGAGTGAGTGAGTGAGTGAGTGAGTGAGAGATAGGTCATCCTAAGGACCTGTGGCTCACCTGGTTTGATCTTCTCCCCCTCCCCAGACCTGACCCTGGGGGTGACCCTCCTCCTGGGGGGTGGGGAGAGCTCCCCGTCAATCACCACATCGTCTGCAAACCCCACCCTGGACTGGGGCTTACTCCTCAGGGTCAGCAACTCCTCTTCTTCTGAAGAGCTGTCTGCTTCATCTGTAGGAGAATAAACATGTGATTATGACCAAATTTTCACCAACTATACTGGTGTAATCTCCAAGCAGATCTTTCGGTGGCCGCAAAAGACAGTATCGAATTGGCCAGGCAATATCCATTGGCAAAACAGTATCCAGTGACTAAAGGACACTCCTCTGGCCAATGTATACTGCCTTGCCACCGTATGATCTGCTTGGAGATTATGCTGGTGTACATGTACATGTTACAGGTATGTCACAATAACAGAAATACTAGTAATATCAACCAATGGAAAAAACGTATTTCCATCCAAGAGCTACAATGATAGAAGGGTTCCAGCATGTACTCCCTTCTGTACCAGAGCCATCAAGTGATGCTCACCTTCCTCATCTGACTCGCCGATGACCTTTGCCCTTGTAGGTGTTCGTTGCTGGGAGGACCTGACAGTGGTGGAGGATTTCATACTTGTCGTCCTGCTGGCACTACTCTTTGCTACCGTCTTCCTCCGTAGCTTTGCTCCTTTGTCTACAGTAATAAAACAGTACGCCATGTCTTACAGGAAATGTTATGAAATATATATACTCATGTTAACAACAAGTTTGTGTGGCCAAATGTTGTATTCAAATTTCTAGTGTCAACACTCTCTAAGAAACAGCAAGGAATAGTCTCCAGCCTAGTACTGTGGTCCCTGGCACATGGGAGAAGGAAGCCTGGAAGACCACCCCTCACCTACTCACATTTGTTGCAAAGGGACACCGGTCTTCAGGCTGATGGCATGGGGAGGGTTATGCAGGACAGGAGCTGCTGGGCTGCCATGGTGGTTTGGGTGGCAGAGGAGGACTGGCACCTGACATAAGTCAAGTAAGTCGAGCACAACTACAAAAACTGACATATCTAAATCTTTCCATGTTTCGTGATAAAGAGTAAGGGATGTACAAGTAAGTACCTGGAGTCTTGGGTGGTGATTTGGGAGGCCGTGGTGTGGGGCTGCCACTGGTGATAGACCTGGGTCTGGGCGGGGGTTTGGACCTGGCTGAGAACGGGGCCGGTCCTGTTGTACCGGCTGCACTGGCGATGGCTGGTGCGGCACCTGGTTTGCCGATGGGGGTCTCAGCGGTCCCTTCTTCTGTGGACTCCATAAACTCATACTTGGGCTGCAAGTTCAAAACACATGGCTCAGAATTGAAGAGCAAAGTTCTGTATTCACAAACACTTGTTTAACAAGAGCCGACATTTTGATGACCATCTGTCATCTTCATCAGAGCAATTCTGACTGGTTCACTGTGGACTGAAGCTACATGTAGGTGTTACTGGTTCACTGTACATTAAAACATCAGCTCCTGTTAAATGAATGATTATGAATAAAAACCTTTGTTATTCAATCATTCACCAAACTGCTGAAAATATTCATGGACATAACAATTTTGCCCTGTACCTCAATGGTGACCTCTGTAGTTGGTGTGGGAGCAGGCAGAGAGATCTCCCTCAGTGGAGGAACTGCAGGTTTGCCTTCCATCAGAACAGCCAGACCCTCCACTTCAGTACTAAGGACAGGGAAGGGTGCCAACAGGTGGTCAAACATTCATATCATCAAAGAGAATATCTGATGGCTATTAATACCTTTACAAGCAATACTGTAATTTCTTGTAAATTATCTATTAAGGCGTAATTCATTGCTTTATTCTTAACTTGCCTATCTGTATGTTAGATATGAAAGGTAGCTTTTCTTAATGAGCATTACCACTAAAAGAAGCACCAAAGCCAAATATATATTACCAAAAACTGAATATGTTATCAACATTGAACATATTATCCCTGGCCTGGAAAAGGAGTTATGATAACATCTGGGAACATACTGATACCAAACATGGCATTATTCAAAAACAAATTGTAGCATCAACATTGTTATGAAACCCTAATACATAACCTCTGTTATGAGTAATCAACTGCAAAACGTGCTGCTGAAACATTATAACTGAAACATGAACATGTTCTGCTGACTAATTTTCCTGTCACCTAAATGCCATTTCTCCTGTCTGTCTGCACTTGACCCTGACCTGACTCTGATGTTTCACCTGTCTCTGCCTTTTCCTACATGTGATGAGAAACTCATCTTAAACCTGTTCGTCTTTCTAATTACTATACCTACATCCTGAGAACAAGAAACTTACATCAATGCAATGATAAAATTTAATGGATACCAGGGTACCTACAATGACTCATTTTGGGATCAGGCAGAAGTTACATTGTACATGTACAAGATTGAAGGACAATATTAAAGGTATTCTGAAAACATAACATGAGAAAATATATCTCTGAAGTGAATTATGAGATAATTATATCTTGCTTACAAAGCTTGGGAATTAGGATAGCTCCCTTTATTGGATAGATTTGCCAATAGTTAGAAATAACACAACAGTTTTTGCTACCTTTGCCTGGAGGGAAGAACTCCCATGGAAGTGACTCTGGGCCTCTTCATGTCTGTGGGAGGGTGTAATAAGCCTGGTTAGTTATCTTCTATGGGGCATGCAGCAATAAATCAAGAATACTTATCATGTTACTGAAAAAAAATCATCAGCTAGAGTAATCTTCTCTCAAGTCGTGTGGGTATTACATACTAACTTTCTGAAAGTTTTGATTGCAATCTTTTCTCTGTTACAAAAGTAGGGGAAAAGGATATTAACAGCTTTTTTTTAGCATCTTCTGTCAATTAGCTAGACACAAGTACACCTACCTTCCACAAACACCACCTCCTCCTTCTGATATGGGTACTTCCTAGTTTTCTGTGTTGGAGGAGGCACTTCAGACTTCTCCAGAGGGTTGTAGGTGGACAGGGTGGCAGATGGCTCCTGAAAGGAGGGCTGGACAGGAAGAACAGGTAGAATACAATTTAACATTAACCCGCCAATGATGACAAAGACCCGACGGCAAATAAAAACTTCACAATTTGATACTAACTCATTACAACTGAGATATCTGGAACTTAATATTTACAATTACTGAATGTATGTTGCAGTCAAAATAATCCTTGTGGACTGTCTCTATCACACAAATTTAATCCAAAATTTACACACCACATTGTGTAACATTTAGCTGTATTTTGGTCTTAAATATATGGAACCATATACTCAATGTAGTGCACCGCTTAATAAAGACAAACACTGAAAGTCACTGAAAGACAGTCACTGAAAACAACTGTCACAATTAATACATAGATGATTATATACAAAATAATATGACAGTGAGTTTACAATAGAACCCTTGTGAACCAATAATGGAGTGATGATGACAGAGTGAATAATTAATGTAGTTAAGTCCCAGTGACAGACAGACTGGAATGTTGTTCAGTACCTCTCGGGAAATCATCTTTTCTGTCAGCTCATCATGGAAGATGGGTTCAGTTCTCTTGATGGGGGGCTGTTTTCTATCAGGCACAAACCTTGGAGTCAGCTTGCTGCAATGACATAAAGTACAAGGGGACATGTTTAAAACATGACAAAAAATCAAGTATTGAGAGCCAATACGTTAGGTTTTTCAACATTCTATTGTGCTTCATTCTATTCTTCTTACTTTTTCTATGCAATACAAATGATAACAGATATTTTGATGAAGGTTAGACAGTCACGTAATAAGAAACACAGAGAAATTGTTACTCAAGCAGCTGAAAACTAGTCAGACTCAGACATTTCAAGTAGCATCCAGTCACCTATGAAAATAATGGATGCTACATGACAGCTTCAGTCTCCACCTCCAGTTTTTAAAATGTATCCAGTTGCTTGACTAACATTTCCTTGTGGATAACACATATTACACAGGCAATTCAGGCAGAATACCATAGTGTGTGTTGTGTGTCCACTAAAAGATGTAAACTACAGACAAATTGTCAGTACTAACATGACAGCTTCTGTCTCCTCGTCCAGTGGCTGTTGTTTAGCTGCTGCCTTGATCGCCCTGATCTCAGCGATGGACTTCCTCTCCAGGTCAGCCAGCTCCTTCTTCAGGGCCAGCTCCTGCTGGAAGTTTGGGCCGTGCCGGAGGAACCGGCTTCTCTGCTCCGCTTGGGTCAAGAAATCCCTGTTGGAGGAAAGTGTGATACTGATGTTGTTGGTCTGCAATTCACAGTGGGAGTCATGCCATTATAGACTGCACACGTACACGGGCAAAAGCACTACAGATACCAGGGCTTGGATATGATTTTACTTGGACACAGGGACAAATGCTACATGCAGAAGCCATAGAAAATGCAATGCAAAGGATGTCAAACCGGCAAATCAACTAGAAAGAATAAAGCCCCCAAACATAACTCTCCACATAATTTATATCACTTGTTTCGTGAAACTTCTGTGTTACGCCCCTCCTCATTCCCTAAACTGGTAAAAGGATATGGCACAGACCCCTTTAAGCCTTAAGTTTTCAGACGAAAAAAATTCGTATTGCTGTAACTATATAATATATGTTGTTAATCATTTCTGTAGGAACAAATGCTAATTAAAAATGAAAAATCATATCACGTCGACTGCACTGTACTCGCGACATTCATGGATAAAAATGACTTACCGGGACGTCATTTTTCGCAGTTCTTTCGTCTGCAGCTACCCTGCATTCATAAGTATTGAATACAGAAAGTTGAGGGCCAGCTCTGATGACGGTTATCACATATGACAGGCCAAAACCTCAGTTCTTGCATTATTGATGTTAGAGTCCGCCATTTTTGTTGATGGTTGCTTGGCACAGCTGGGCGAGTTCATTACAAAGAAGAATAGGTGTGTCTGACACACATTTGATATGTTCAAGTGCTATAAAAGTGGTGTAGATTGACTGTTAGTATGTATTTTAAATAAAAACGTCTTTGAAGGCCAAAAATTTGCTCTGTTGTTACTTTGTGATGAAATATCTTCAGCGCTAAAAAGTGAAAATTAAACCCCCATTACTGAGTGAAACATTCTAGTGTAAGTCTCACAAGATCACGCGAGAAAGTCCGAGGAGGGGTCACCAAAGGTCACTGATGAAAAAGAAATGTGATCGTGGATTTCTGTGAAATTTCTGTCGTTTTGTGCTCCCAACATTTCCCTTTAACGAATTTATTCACGTAAAACTGTAGTCGAAGATACTGTTAAGATGACGCGAGGCAGTAGAATATTTGTTTCACCTCCCTCGGTAAGTATTTCCTTGTGTACGATGAACCCTACAAATCATGTACCCCCCTCCCCATAACAGTGCGGTAACATGTGCATGCCACTTTATTGTTTTTTCTCAAGAAAAAATAAGGACGTGTGAACTATGTCAATGGTTTCTTGCTTAGGTAGAGCTTTCCGTTGTCTCTGTCTACTGGGGTGAGGGTGACAGTAACGTTAACGTCATAAATTATGTAAGTATAAAATTTCTATGCATTAGTATACTTGGCATAATTTTTACTGTCATAATTCTCTTCACCTTCTCTCCCATGTTCAGATCCTGGGGCTGAAGCATTATTTCCGTTACTGGAAGTGGTTCAACAGGGATGAAAGAAAATCATACAGGTGGGTCTACAGTCATCATGCAAAAAGTCTGTTTCAACAACAAAGCACTGTATACGAATGATCGCTATTGTCGTTTCACGCAAATCATTTAAAGACATATGCAACTATTGGTAGGCAAAATCAACCAAGCATCACCCGCAGTTTGTCTACCATGATGTCATATGGTTAGCATCTTATATGTTTGTGTAGGTTATATATTGATATACATGTAAATAATTATAATAAACCTTTTAGAAAAGTAATTAAAGAAGAAAAGCTTTAATTGCACAGCTAATGAGTTTAATCCCAAACTTTTCCACAGATACACCCCAGCCATGATTAGCAGACTACCTAAACATTACCTGGACAGTCTGGACCCCAAACAACCAACACCCGTCCACTACAAGGCAGAACGAGGGGAAGTGGAAAATACATACCCAAAACTGGTTAATTAGGTCTTGTTTTTGTCATTTAGAGAAGAATCCAATTACCTTCATCATCGATCATCTATCCTTGTCAGAAAGTACCAACAAGTCTCCATTCCTGATAGGAAAATTTAGTCTGGAATACTCTTTTCAATCTATACTTCTACATCTATGCAGCACTGGACAAAGCCCCTTGCAGGGTGTAACATCCAGGAAGATAGGTGATAGTGGTGCAAAAACTAAAAGTGAAGTCTTATCTAGCAAAAACACAAAATAAGAGTGTGGTGCAGATAAGAATAGCAATCAACCATTAGGAGATTCAACTGTACCAGTTAACTGTCAGTTTAATAATTGGAATCTGTATATAAAATATTTTTTTGCCCATCCAGGAGAGAGACAGAAGGTACAGAACATCCCCCTGCCCTTCTACCCCACCAGGCAGTATGACACAGGTTTATGGGGAGGGGAAGGCTTGATCGAGGGCTTTCGCAGGAGGAACAATGACAAGATGAAACCCAGGCAAGACCAATCCATTTGTTCCAACCTCACTACATTTTACTCCTTCAAAAAAAAGAAGTTATGATTGGCTTTTATGACAATTACAAGTAGTTAGAATAGCATTGACTGTAAAAGAAAATTTGACATTTTTCTCATGCCATGAGATTGTGTTTAATATTCAGTTCTATCAATCTATGGCCTTTGTTCTTGTTGTTTGACAGGGTGAAGCACATGTGGCGTCCACAGCTGATTGAGCGGCAGTTGTACAGTGAAATTCTGGACAAGACAATAACTACAACTGTCACAGCAAGAACGTTAAATCTCATTGATGAGGCCTACGGGTTTGACTACTATATCCTTAAGGTATAATCCTTCATTAAGAAATCCATTGTGTAATATGTTATGTTTTACTCTGCATATTAGAATTGCAAGAAGTGGGACATTTTAACTGATTTGCACTGAAGTCATGAATGATATCTGCACAATACATTATAACATAGATTTATCATTAAATCTTTGAAGTTATTTTAGCTCAGAAATGTCAAGTTTCTCCACCTATCAATGGAAAATTTGATGTTTTGATGCACCAAAAAAAAAATTTGTTTGAATTTTCCTACCAGACTCCTCAAGAAGACCTGAACTCCCAGCTGGGCATGGATCTGAAGAGAGCCATGCTGATCAAGCTGGCCAGGAAAGACACAGACCTCTACCCAACTGATCCAGAGAAAAGGGACAGGATATACAACAAGTACAAGGACTATGTTATACCTGTGAGTGTCTCATTGCCACAGATTAAACCTGAAGTGTGATCAGTAAATAAGATCCACATGTATATGCATGTATGTGCTTTCTCTGTTGTGAGAAACCAAACCTTGCTTTTTGGATACAGATCACATTGAGCAAAGCAGCAGAGGTTACTTAAGTGTTCCACAGAATGTCTGGACTTTTGTGTCAGCTGTTACCAGCTGAGTCTGCCTGCACTGACACAAGTAATGACTTGTATCAGTGCCAATAAATACAAATGCCGTATCTGTACATGTAGGAAGAGGAGGCTGAGTGGGTGGGCCTCCGGCTGAAAATGGCCGTCTTCAAGATGCAGCATGAGGAATACAAACCTCCCGTACCCCTGATGGAGAAGTACAGGAGACAACTTATTGCAGACCTCAAAGGTACCTGGTTATTATGTAGACGTATACAAATGTAATACTAGTAGAAAACTGCTTTTGAAGTTTGTATAGATATATGGTCATAGCTATGGTATATTTGTACAATTTAGATGTCCATGATCATACACCTATGACTATATGTAACGTTATGACTTCATTGTTGTTTCTGAAGGATTGGGGTTTATGAAACAGCTAGAAGACATTGTACAATTTTGGTTATGTTGTGTTTTACCTGTACCCCACTCAGACCGATCAATAAGAGAAAAGGTTGGCCAGGAACCTGCAGTGTTCATGCCTGGGGCAGGGGGCCCTCAACAACTGGAGACCAAACAGGAGGAAGGGTAAGAAGACCATCTATTACAAACTTAACATTGTTCTGACTTAAACCAGTTTGATCAAAAAATGTACATGTATGAGGGGGCATACAGGAAATATATCTGTCTTCCCTACATTTTCCAATCATTGTTATTCAAATGCTTGATCTTTTTTATTTCAGGTCTTGGTCTTCTTGGTTAAAACCTTCAAAATCGAAAGGAGAAGAGTCACCAGAGAAGACTGGAGATAGATAGATAGATAGATATTACCTGTGAGCTTGCATCATGTTATCAATTTGTAAACTACATAGACACAAGCACCGGCTTCAAGACTAGAAGTGTCAGCTAATGGATGTGGTAAATCTTTTTCTAAACTTTACCAATCTAAAATCAACAAGAATTAAAACACCCATCAGACTGTAGTGTCTTTTGTTTTTATTCATGTTACCAATATGATAGCATATTGTTTGTTGGGACATTTACTAGTACCTTCATCATGTAATCTTAAGTCACACATTCACAATCTTTAAGCACTCTTCAGTTACAGAGATATCCCTAGTTAAACATTACTACTGGTATATAGCCCTTGTGTTTGATATCATCTACTCTACATCTGTACATTTCGAGACTCTTACCTATTCTGGTATATAGAAGACTATCTTCCTATTACTCTGTGCCATTTCATGGCTCTCAAACAGTAACACATAATACAAACAACGTAAACAGTGTGGCACACAAATGGCTAAACAAGCAGCATAAATCATTATGAGGTACATGTAACTCTCCATACACTAAATCTAAACAATATTGTTTTGGGATATACAAAGAAGGATTGTAAGAGGTCTGTGTAAAATGCTGGTGCAAGGTTTATTATTTAATAGGCCTTCATTTTCTTATTCAGTGTTTCTCAAGCATCCTGTGATTGTGCTTTTATCTAAGCTATTTTTTTTACTAGAACACTTACCTCACCACAATCCTTTCCAATCTATCCCAAAACTTACTGGTACAAATTTCCATAGTCTCTGTACATGTAAGTACTACCAGTACCACATATTTTGCTATTTTCTGAGGAGCAACAGATATCAATCTGAGGTTTATGATACATGCATAACATAGACATTTAATATTCAGACATCAATAGTGGTGACTCGCCTCTACATTGGTACTTTGATGACAAGTTACAGCATTGGAAATTTTGGACCTTAAATAAAGAGCTGCCTCTTTGTAGACCTGGGCAATGAAATATCACTTTTCTGTTTCATAGAACTCAAATATGAGTTAACAACGAGAACACTAGTAAGTAGGAAGCATTTTCCAACATAAAATTCATCTCTCAGTAAAGACACTGTCACTTAAAGGTTGGAAGAATCAGTCAAGTACATGTAACATTCAGTGCTGCAGCACATAGTTTGTATCCAAGATAGCCTTACACATTACACACTTAGTACCTATGAGAAGCTTGTGTTAAGACTACATGCTCTAGGCACTTGGTTAAGACTTCTAAGTGCAATACTACCTGCCTTTTAAAGTACATGTATGGTTGGTACAGGAGATCTTATTTAGACCTTGGCTTGTCTTGAAATGTCAGCAGGAAGGAAACGGTCTGGAAAAAACACACTTGGGTTAAGAAGACAGTAATTAATGATTTCACTTTCATAGTGGCTCCTCATAAATAACTTTCTATGAACTGAAACAATCAAGTACTTTGGCTCTATCAACTGATCGAAGGTGTGAAAACCAGTGACGAGTTGACCTTTACACTGGTTTTATATCGTAAATGTCAAAAGAGGTTTTCTCACCTTTTAAAATCTGCTGTTGCCTCTGCAAACCTATGTCTGACCATGAAGGTGGCCAGGGCTTCTGCTACCTGCAAAAAAATGTACCAAGAAAAAAACAGGTTCATTTTGGAAGGCATATACATGTTAGCAAACACAGTCATAATGAGTCAGAAGAAGACATAAGGGACTATGATGCTTTAAATTTGTGATATTCACAACACATCACATGTTCACACTTAGGACCACAGTAGTGTGTTACCTTGTCAGGGGCATCTTCATGTACAGCATGTCCACACTGGGGTAGAACCTGCATCTGGAACTTTCCTTGCATCTGACCAATGGTGAGATCTTTATCCAGACGATCAACTCCTGTTATGTTGTGTTGTGTAATATAACATTGTCATTAACATGTTAGGTAATGAATAATCAAAGCAACATGGATGACAAACAAGTAGAACAGTCTAGCAATGATCTTTCTTGGTTTTTACAACACAAAAAAATATATTTAGTGATTTCTGTACTCACCTGCAAGTAGCAGCATCTTTGGGACATTACAGGACAGGAAGAGTTGCGACATCCCCGCAAACCAACCTAGGGAGGAACAACATTTAAAAATCAAAGGCTATGCATAATTTTCATGCTCCCATGGTATATGCTCAACCACGTACATTTTGTGTTGGCAATAACAAACATCAGTAGCTTGAGGTATCTGAGAGTTATCTATGAAATCTGTGAAAGAAACATACAAACCTTTCCAGTACTTTTCAGTACTGGACAAGTCGATCCTCCATGTGTAAGACCCTGGGGGAGCCTGAAAGGAACAGAGACTACTTTACATAAGCTATTCATTCATAGTCAACAACTGACATACCATTGTTGTGTCTTAAGTGTCAGGACAAAAACTGAACAAAAGACAACTTACAAAGACAGCCCGCTGCCAGGTAGTGAGAAGCACCATTGTGAAGAGACAGAGACACATAACAGGGAAAGGAAAGAACATAATTGAGTGATTACAAATTCTCCTACATGTAAGAAGTAGAATGGAGTACATGTATTTAATCTACCAAAGGTATAACTACTTCCATAAAAAATTGATGTATTTTTTGGTGTGTTTGTCTGTACATGTGTGTGTGTGTATTGTGTGTGTGAGTGTGTGTATTGTGTGTACTACGTGTGTGTGTGTATTTTGTGCGTGTATTGTATGTGTGCATGTGTGTATGTGTGTTTAAGTGTGTGTGTGCGTGCGCGCGCACGTGTGTGTGTGTGTGAGCGTGTGTGTTTGACTGTGGTGTCTGTGTGTGTGTGTGTGTGTGTGCCTGTATGTGTGTGTACGTGCATGCATGCGTGTGTGTGTGTAAAACCAGGTATAACTGACACCTCTGTCATGGAGGGCGGAGGAGAAGCAGGTGGAGGCATGTCCTGGGAGGGGGAGGTGGGCTCCTCCTCCTCTACTATCGCATCAGCACTCAGGCTCACTCCAACGTTGGGTTCACTGGCCAGCTCGCGCTCCAACAGGGATGTGCCTGTCTCCTGGGTGTCTGTCCTGGAAATAGGAGAAGATTAGAGACATTTACCATGTCTTTATCATTGCCATCATTGTAATTATAATATATAGTTGGCATGCTACAGTTAAAATTAAACTTAGAATCAGGTAGCTGGGATGAAATTCAAAGCTATGATTACTATGTTGCATGAACATTGTAAAATGTACTTACACATGTTGATCAAGAATGCAGTTCTTAACATTTGAAATGAAGTTTCAAATCTCAATCTGCTATTTGATACAAAACTACAGAAATAGTGTGTCCTAAACTCTTGGACAAGTCTGGCTCTTGAAAAAATGCACTCACTTTTTCACCTGTCCAACCATGGAGACCTTGGCTGACTCCAGGTTTCTCACTTGTCCACTTCTCACACTAGCATAGGAGACAAAAACATAGTCTGAATATAAAACAGTAAAGCAAAACAACACTGTAAATCCTAACATCTCGGGGAAGAGATATTTTCAATTATAGTTTATTAGCAGTTACAGGTGGTAAAGAATTACATCACTTCTTGTTTCATTCAGCCAGTCTTTCCCTCCTGACATCTGCTTGGTTCTCATTCATAGACATGTACTAATGTAACATTGAGCATTTTAAGGTGCAGGCTGTTAACAACTCCTCACCACCACTCGATGGCAGCCTCCAGAGTAGGGAAAGACTTGGGCCGACCTCTCAGGAAACTCTGCATGCTGTGGAGCGCATCTAGAGCTGTGCCTGGACATGGTGAACATCATGCAAGATAAACAACTGTTATATTCACTCAAAATCATGTTCTTTTATGCCAAATTGGAAAATAGGGAACATTACATAAATTGATACTTTTAGTCTTAGGACCTACCTAGATTTATAACTAGTGTGTACTGTCAGTACACATGTAAGTCTAAAAGATTATTAACTGTGCAGAACAGGATGGTACAGTTCCTTTACAAATCAAATTCGAATCAAATTGAAATACAAAATACATAACTATAACTTACAATAAAGATTTGCTAGTCTGCAGTCGACACTGTGTCAGAAACACACCCTTCTGCCAATACCTACCTTCTACTACATCAATGACAACCATGCCTATGAGGGATGGAACCTTCTCTTGTACAGCTGAATGGATGGCTATTGCACCACCCATACTGGAAACAAAGGAGACAATTTGTCAATGTCATGTAAGGAAAAAACTGTACAGATGTAGACCTCAAACTACTGGCATACCTACTTATCAGATGGTTTTGTCTAGACGTCTGGACTGCTAATGTTTTCCGAATACCCTAAAATATGACAACTATATGGACGAAATGTCTACAACAGAGAACTCCACACAAGTTGATGAAATAATGGTAATGCCAATTGAGAATACACAGCTGTGAAGGTCCCACAACTGAAGAGTGCCAGATGTTGGCTCACCTGTGTCCAACAAGAATGATGGGTGGTGGTTCATCACCGTATAGAGCAGATACCAAGTTTCCAATATCCCTGAAAAAAAAAAAACAATTGTTGTAAATATTGTAAAACATTCCACATGCATGTATACAAGGAAAGGCTATTACTGCACTAGGTAAAAGTTACTAGAGTAACAGTTTGATATAGAAAATGCAGGTAGGAAAATCAGGTACTAAATTATCTGATAGGGATGTGTTTTGGGTACAGTATTACTATTAGTTCCAAAGCATCACAAAATTGGTGGCAGTCTGGGTTGGAAATAAAATGTAAATGAAATAAAACATCTATAAAATGTACAATGTACAAAGTAAACCTGACAAACTGTAGGGTCATTTCCACACAGAATCTCACCTGCTGGGGTAGGAATGTGACAGAATTGTGCCTCCAAGGGAATAATGAATCAGATTAAGTTGATAAGGCTTTGGAAGCTGAAGTGAATTGACTGCCCTGAGGTATAATGTAATACTGAGTCGTCTCCCGTCACATGTTGATTAGATTACACAGCATGGAAGGGAGGCCCACGCACAAATCAATACATGAACTCACTCGGCAAGCTGGTCTGCTGACAAATTTTCTTCCTCTTTTGTCTCAGAATCACCTATAAGGACAAGAAGACTTTAGTACAGAACAATATTAAGTACATGTATACTCCCTAGTTCCCTATAAATGGATATATAATGTACATGTACTTAAAAATTGAGATAAAATCAAGGTTTGAACAAATGGCAAAAGAAACAAATGTACCTGTTTTTTGTTGTTGTTTTTTTAACAATTGCTACGAAGAATCTACTTGTGATTTATATGATGGATCCAATCATTACTAGTATTCCCAATTCAAACCAAGACCTTATGGTCATGGACTTTTGAAAAGAATCTGAATGACAGAATTGATCTTACCATGTCCCCTGAGGTCCACGGCAAGAGTTCTGCAGTTTACAAGTGAGGTCACTATTGTCTGAAACATTGACAATAAAATGTAAAAAGTACAGTGTTATTTAAATGTTCACCTTGACATCCTTTTATAGATTAGGATCAGGAGTCAGTGTTCAAGGGAGCTTACCTAGCCTGGGTGCCGAAAAAATTGGGGTTGCCGCTACAAATCGGATCGCACACAGGCTTCAGCTTACCACCATTCTCTATACCAGTAACTTGTTATGAATATCTATGATCTATGTACATAAACCCATCCTTACCGACAGACAGGCCCAGGACAGTGCACAGTGACCTCCTCCATGCAGAAGCAGCAGCACTGGTCCTTCTGATCCAGCTCGGTAAATCCGGAAAATGTGTGACGTGTCAAGGACATGATGGACTTGCAAGATGTGGAGGAAGGGGTGTGAAGGTGTGAAGTCATTTTGATATCATGAATAGAAATGTTTGGAATAGGAGCAGCTGACAATCCTAGACCTACTAGTTTTTGTTTATAATGGTAACATAATGATTTCTGTATTTGGGTGGTTAACTACAGGTAATACTGTGTCACAAAGTAATGTTGCAGAAGGATATATCTTCACCCACAGTGATGTGGTCTGTTGTTTCGAAGTACTTATCCCAAGATACTGGTGTGTAGTCTCTCCTACGAGCCATCCCAATGTGTCTTCCTCCTCTGTGGTTGGAGAAAAAAATTAAATATAATACTAATAGCAACAAATTGTGATAGTATAGAAAATAAAATAGAATAGCAGCAAATTAATCAAGACACAAAATCATTGATTATCAGGTTGAGATTATAAAATTAATGTGATTGACACAAAACACAACATGTAAACATGTGATAACGTACAAGGATGCATCTGATCTAATTTTAAGTTAATAACCACATTTATAAAATCAATAAAAGCATTTCTGACCAGTCGAAAATTTCAACTGCTGTACTAGTAAGTATGAAAGACATTAGTTTGTACCGGTATAGCATCGCCTGGCAAAGCAGACAGGAGAAAGCACCTCTAAAAAACACGGGTCATGTCTTGCTATGTTTCTTGCTTACAAAACATGTTTGAGCTGTGAAATTTGCACAGAATATAGATCTGACTCTAGTAAATTAGATACGATATCGATCATTTACCTGGCCGCACCTGGACCCATCCCACCCGGCGGTCTAGGTGGGAGTCCTCTCGCCATCACTTTCTTCTGAAGGGACGACATTTTGTTTTGACCATACCATTTACGCTAAGGGGTGTACAGGATGACGAAGAAAATAAAGTGCAGCGGTTCGCCAATAAATCTATATTTAGTAACCACTAATAAATATGTTCAAAACAAATTAATATTTTTGTATCTTATTTCAGCTTAAAATGCTACTTATTCACTCAAACGCTGTGGGTACAAAATTTTCCGTGCGCTATCACTTAGAAAATGTTAAGATCCATTCCCACAATCCTTTGTAAAAAGAATGATGAAAGTGGCGTCATATTTGAAATCGCCCGATGTTGAGTGAAGGAATGTCTAGAGTTCATAGAGGGCACGTCAACATGTTTTGACTGTTTTCTGTTTGAAAAGGAAGACTGTTTAGTGATGATAGAACTTAGAAGGGACTAACTTCGTGTCACACGGTTCACAAATTTGATAGGGACAGGTTTCACTTTGAAGTCGGTTTCAACAATGTCCAGCTCAGGATTCCAAAGGAACAACGGGCGAAGGAACTTTAAGGTTTTCTACAACAAAAAGCGCCCAGAGATAGCACGGAAGTACCCGTTTCTTGGTGCGAAACAGATCCAGAGGAAAGTGGAAGCGCTGTGGAGGAGTCTTGGCCCAGCTGAAAGGGAGGAATTTTGTATTGTTCAGTCCCCGTCTGTTGCTGACAACTTCAGCCAGTCCGCGCAAGCATGGCAAGACGACGAGTCATTCACTCCGAGGTTGTATCCTAACATATAGTTTTACCTTAGTTCTTTCATTTCACAATTCACAGTGATTGTAGATTCAAGCTCTCTGTAGTTTATCGTGTCAGTGAATCTTTAAAAAAATGCTTATACATGTATTTCGTTCAGTTTCAGAACTGTCGAGTTGGAAAGACCATCCGATGGCAGTGACCGTGAAATCGCCAGTACAACAGCTCCAGATGCTGACGTCACCTGGACGTCAGGTGATGAGGAAGAGCAGCAGCATGAAGAGGAAGTGCAGCATAGCGTTACAAACACACCATTGGTCAGGTAACTCCAGTCATTGTCAACACTACTATTATATATACTGCTGGTAGATAGCCTCCATTAGACCTTTCTCGCAGGGTACGGACTAGGGATCGTAGAATTTTGGCAAAAAAGGGAAATAATTGGCCAAGAGAGTGAGTGGAAGGATTAATTTCCCCCTGAAATGTGCAATTATGGCATTAACTGTAACATGATTTTGTATAAAAATGAAAGACAGCTAACTTTCACTGGTTTCACTTGAGAGACAAAGATACTTGAAAGTTCAATTAATACTTGAAAGTTCTGGTGCTGTTTCACTTCAGGACTACAGCATGGGAAAAGAAGCCATACAGACATGTACAGTCTGATGAAAGGTACCTTCCAAAAACAGCTGGAAACAGAAGCCAGTCCTCCACCAGATCCAAAGGTCTGCTGACTCTCCACATGGCCAGGATGCAGATGGTGGCAACAACGTCAAAGGGCATTGGGAAGGGAGAGATCACTAGGTCCAGCAACTCAGAATCAGAAGACATCTTGTGCTCTGAGGATTGGTTTGATGAAGAAACTTTCACAGAACAGCTAACAGAAAATAAGCATAGTCACATTGGCAATGATATTGAGTCTGAACAAAACAGACAAGATAAAAGTTTGTCTGAGGATCCCACAGAGTTTGTCAAGAAAGATGGATATTTCAAAGATGTAGTGGAAGCAGGAGATCAAAAAGATGAATACATCATGGAGACAAATGAAGATACACAATATACTCTCACTGAGGAAACAAGGAGAGCAATCACGCAATACCTCAGTGGTAATGGACTGAATAGTACATTCAACACAAGCAATTCTGAGGACGAAAAAGAGGAGGGAGAAACTAAGATTTTGATAGAGTCAGCTATAGACAGTTTGGAAACTGAACTTGCAGGTGACAATGAAAACATTGGGACAGCTGAAAAGGGGCAGGGCAAAGGTACATCTAGTTATGATAGAATAAGCAGTATTCTGTCAGAGATTATCAATGAAGTTGCTCAGAATGCAGATCCTCACACAGCTACTTATGATGAAGGGGTCAAACATGGGCAGCAGGCTGGAAAAGAGAATATGAAAGGTTATGAATATGATTCAGGTGACAACAGAAGCAAAAGTGACCAAGTCATGGATCATCACGGTATCCCAATAACATCAGATGAGACCAGGGATAGTGGGTCTGAACTGTGGGATAGGATGTTCAGGAGTGGAACACCACTGAAGTCCAGGAGGACATACAGAAGGAAAAGGTCATCTTCTTTTTCGGAAAGTGAAGGTGCATGGGAGGTGGAGACAAGTGTGGAGATGCTGTTGACAGGCCATTCTGATAGGCAACAGAAGAAATACAGAGACATGGATCACACATATGCCATGGTCCACTCTCCCTACTCCACTGGTGATGTAAATACCAGCAGGCCCGAGCAAAGTGCAACACAGGACTCAGCCCCAACTACCAAACAAAGAGAATGTTACAACACTGTAACTGAAGAATTGAGAACAATGAAGGATACAGGAATTGCTGCATCAACCTCTTCATCTGTCATGGGTGGAAAAGAATCAGAAGTCAATGTTGAAGAAGATAAACGATGTATCATAGATGAAGCATTGTCAGGAATGCTCCATGCACATCAAGTCAACCAGTCTACTCCCAGCCATTGGCAACAACAGCCAGCAACATCAAATGTATTGCACCAAATTACACAGGGAGGTAAATGCAGCATGGAACAGCCCACTGGATGCAACCTTCCGGATCCATTGTATCTGAAATCAGCCCCCATGGATATCCCACCTGAAAGTGAGCAGCAGGCCAAGAGAAGGGGAACGCAGAGACCTGCCAAAAACACCATGGCAAGGCTGCTGACAAGAGACTACAACATAACCACCAGGGCTCAGGCAGAAGCGGGGAAAAGAAACACACGGAGCAAGATCTTAGACTACAGAAGGTTAAGTGGAATGAAGGACAAACAGCAAAAGACTCCAAGCAGAAGAAACTGGCAAAGAAGCAGCAGCAAAGACTCCATCCTCTCCTGTGATTCAGGGCCAAGAGTTCCTCCTCCAAGGGGTAAGAAAAGGAAGAGGCATCTATCAACGTCATCCGTTGGGAGTGATTTCTCTACAACCAGCTCTGTGCCTGAGCTACAGGAGGATCACCAATGGGAAGATGTGCCTGCTGAAGAAAGTGAGATTACAAATGATCAAACTAAAGAGGGCATTGACAACTCTGAGACAAGAGCAAATAATGGTGCAGGAGACATTTACATTCAGCAGAATAGAATTACTAGTGCAAGTGTTTCTCCCATCACCTCTGTGCCACCAGTTGATTTTGCTGAACAGATAGATGAGAATTCAATGGGTGTTCAGAACAGCCAAGAAATAAGGGCACCACAGTCAAAGAAGACTGATGATCCAAACAGGCAACATGAAAAGAAGGAGGATGACCCCTGGGACACACACACTGAAGAAACAGAGCAAGATGGTGATTTGAAACCAGAGAATTGTAGCAACTGTGAGGTATGTATAACCCTGAAGACAATTTATCGATGAACTCATGCAAAGCAGAAAAATGGTTGTTTTTTACAGCTCCAAAAGGTAGAAGTTGTTATGAATTTGTAATATTTTACAAGTAGTTTTGCTTAACGTTTTAGGTCTGTAATACCACTACTGATCACTGTCTGGTACCATTGTTTTACAGACTGTTCCTAGTTCATCAGGAGGGTTTCTGTGTGAGATGTTCTCAGATCCTAAGCCCCACACAGCAGCCTGGCTACCTGGATTCAACAGGTGAGAATTGTGTTTGGACAGGCTTATGAATCATTTTCATTCTCCACCTGCAGGACCTATCAGTACATGTGTACTCTTGAGGAATCATAATCTTGCTATTGTTAAAACTTCTGACTCATATACAACCTAATTCTACTCTGCCAGAAAGATTGTACCAACAGCCAACCCTCTCTTGCAGGTCTGTTCCTGACCGCCATGCAGCAGCTGCCAGTTTCATAGACTTTGAAGATGATGGAATTTTCTTGTAGTCTTATTTTTCTTGACAACTGAAAACACGCAAAAACATGGGTGTTCTTTGTTATGACACTTCATGAAAATAGACCTTCAGAGCAGTCAGATACTAGTAGTAGACACAGTCTAAGGACCTCTTTAGTTTATTTTGTGTATCTGCTGATGAAATGTTCCTGATAAGCAACATTGTTCTCATGAAATGGTGCATAGTCCACTAAAGTTGACTTTGCAATTCATGTTCTAGTATTCAAAATAAAGTTTGACAGCATTGACATGTTCGGCTCCTTTTTGCAAACAAAAAAATGCACAAAAGCAGGTATGGATCAATATACATTTAATTTTCTACACATACAACTGTGCTCAAAACGATAGTCCAAAGTTTGCCCAATTCACACAACAATTTTGACACTGTATGGTGCTGAGGTATGTGAATATAACAAATGTTATGATGGTCTGGGAATAGGATAATTTTTCTACAAAATGCAATTCAAATAACACTTAAGTGCATATGAGACTGCTGATTCCAATGCTAGTAAAACCTTAAATGCCTATCTCACATGGTCCCTGATTAACAAGGTATCCCCTGAACTTCTTTTTTCTACATTCTCTACTCACTTTAGTACATACATGAATATGCTCATTAATTGCAGCTCCAACAACCATGGGTGACAATCCACCATATAGGTACTACAGAGTATATTGTAAGGACTAACTAAGTTGTTTCACCAGGCTTCTTGAAATTGCCAATCCAAAAGGTGCACTTTGACTCTGATACACACTTCTTGGTACAGTCAGCCTGGTTGATATTCTTGCTACCAATACGGATGATTTACAACAGAAAACAAATTGAGTTACTGGTATGTAGTTTGTGACTCCTTCCATGTTTGAACACCATGCTGCATACTGTTTTGATCCCAAAACCTAGCTCACAATTCACAACTTCACACTTGCTCCCAATACAAGGACTATCCAAAACTTTGTATAGGTCTTTCATCTAAGTCAGATTTTCTACAAACTACATGTAGATGCTGAATGTGTTCCTTTTACCAGAGAAGTATTCTTGAAAACTGTCACTGTGAATGGACAAACATGCACCACCAGTTTTACATGAAAAGAAGCACCCTTAACTTTGTAGAGGAATGACTTCTGATTCACCAGGTGCTATTGAAACATAGCTGCATGGTCAGTTGTTGACCATTGAAAATCAATGATGATAAACAAAAAAGATACTGTACTAAAAACTGAATAAAACAGCACCATCACAAAATTGAAAACCATCACAACTTGAGTACTTGTACTATTGACAAAAAATGAAGAGAAAAAACTAGCCACTTGACACAAGTTTCTGGTTTGTAAATACCAACACAATCTCTACATGTATGTAAACAAAGACATTACTGTTGAGTTACTTTTTTGATCCCCCAAATCCACTGAAGCCCATCATAGCAGCCATCTCTGGGTCTATGTCTTCGTTAAGACCTGCATCATCTGCCTTTCTCTTCTTTTCCTTCTTCTTCTCCTTCCTGTATTCTTTCATCTTTGCTTCCTGCAACAAAAATCAAAAGAATCTATTATCCATTCTAAACTAAACACAATACTACTGGTGTAATATACTGACACAAAGTCTTTTCAGTTAAGTTGTACAGGGAAAGGCTACTATCTATAACATTGTCAAATCTTACACAGTATGCCCACACTAATTTCAACATACATGTATTAACAGGACAAACCTCTTCCTTGAGCTCGGCCATCCTCTGTTCAAAGTCATATTCTTTCTTCTTCTCTTCCCTCTTCTTTTTGTTGAGTTCGAATCGCTTCTTGACTTGGTCCAGGGTGGAGCGCTCAATTCGCATTGACATGCCAAGGTTACGTTGATCTGAGAAAATAGGAAAGTGAGGCTGTTCATGCAACAAAGTCACAACGATTCTAGATTTTATAAACATATGATGTGTTGATACAGTAGTAATAAGTGAAGTCAGATCACTACAATTCCAGGAACATACAGGACAACAGGACCAGAAAAAAGATGATCAGAAGTAAAACAGGGACTGTCAGACTGACTTACGTTTCTTGCCATTGATGTGGTCCAGAAAGTTGATGGAGTCCTTTACTACACAGTCACACACATTGCAATAGTACCTGGACAAGTAACAGAGAAGACCATGTCATGATCTTTTACTATTCTTCTATTGAAAATCAAGACTAATTGCAATCAACTGTACAAAGTGTAGGCTGTTGCTAGCCTGGGTGACATTCGATTTGTAATGGCAACCCCAGGACATGTAGCTAAAGAATACCGGTACCAGTAGTAACCCTTGCACCCTCCTTCCAGTGCTGCTGTAAGAGACAAAGGTCAGACATAGGCTTTACCCATCTTTCATCTTGTATACTAGTATACATGTACATTGTAATATTAATAAAGATCATTTTAAACCCCACACTGCCATTGACTGTACTCACCCTCCTTGGTCAGACAGTGGAGCTGACTTAGATATGACCTTTGTCTTCCCGAGTTGAGACTCCAGGTCCACCTTGTAATCTCTCCTTCTCAGGAAGTCTCGCTTGACTGGAGGCTGGGCATGTTGGCTATCTGCAAATACACATGTTATACTCAATTCAGTATTTATGCCCAACATCATGATGATGATGATTCATAGATAGTTTATACATGTGTGTATTTCACCATATGCAGTTATTTTTTATATGACGATGATGATGATGACTGGTTTCTTTTGCATCCTCTGCACAAACATACAGTTGGTATCATCATCATAGCTTGTCACTAAGCCTCCAACCAGTTCCGTGCTGCTCCATTGGCCACCCAGAGGTCTGTGTCTGTGCAGGTTGGTCCAAGCCTGCGGCTATACATGTACTGTACAGTTGGTGTACCTTTATCAACTGCAGCCTCTGTTCAATTGACCCATAATTGTTGCTAACAAATGCCATTAAGATGGGTGTTTCCTTTATCATCTGATTTTGTTTGGTTATCACACACTTTCCTTTTTTTTGTTTGCTTGTTTTCACAGCACCCACCGGCCGCACTGGACCTGCACCCTGGGCGATAGAGGGCCTTGCTCAGTATTCTTAGGATAGGATAGGATAGGATAGGATCTAACACTAGCCTCTCCCTCCTCAACCCCAGTACTGACCTTCAGCCTTTTTCCTCTCCTCCTCCAGCCTCTTCCTGGCCATCTCCTCATACTCCTCCACATCCCACTTCCTGCGGTGGTCCTCAGGGGCTTCCTGCAATCAAACAACACAAGAGTCATTCTGTTTCACTCTTCCTTACTTTGTGATCTATGTCTGAACAATGTGTCAAATCCAGGTTGAAGTTGATACCTTCAACTTCCCTGATGAGGTTCCCCTTTAAAGCTCCATTTGATATGATAAATATGGCATTCTGCAATTCTGTACATTTCTTTGTGTGTCTTGCTATGTTCATTGACGACTACGGGAAGCATATCTCCAAAATTTGATATGATGAATGATAAGTACAAAATATGTACAGGTAGACAGGTCCTCTCAACTGACACAGATACAACAGTCTGCATTCATGTTTACTATCTTCAAGTGTTTCACCAATCTCCAAGCAGATCCTAGGGTGGCAAAAGACAGTATCAAATTGGCCAGGCAGTTTCCAATTTGGCCAGAGAGGGCCAGATACACCTTGGGTGACCCTCTCTGGCTAATAGATACTGCCTGGCCAATTGATACTGTCTTTTGCCACCCTAGGATCTGCTTGGAGATATAACTGTTAGTGTTTCACATGCTGGTCTGTTGATTCCTCATGACATAAGACCACATTTCGGCATATTTCTGACGGCATACGAAGATTATCTACTCTAGGTGTGTTCTATACACCTTCTACCTGAATCGGATCGTCACAAATGATACTTACTGCTCGCTTGACGTTCAGAAAACGAAAGAAAAGGACAAAGACAAGCACTACTACTCACCTTACTTGTCGACGCCATTTTGGATACTGCGAGTGATGCACAACGGGATGTACCATTTACTTCTGGGGGGATCAATTGAACTGCCGTCATAGAGCTTGAAAGATTGCGACATTAGTAATGCTACGTCAACATATGTAGAATCATATTTGTATTAAGAATATTTAGAAAGATGTTTTATACGCTTTGCAGTGTCACATTACCCCTACCTATTGGTCTTGCTAGATATATAAGCACATTAACCCCTATTATAAGTAGAATCTTCTAATGATAAGATGTGGGAACCAAACCTTGCTTACGCGTCCACGTTTACTTAATTTTTCAATCCCCAGAAGCTAAAACTGTAACAGTGAATTTTACTTCTACAAAATTAGATTTTTTTTTAACACAATAAACCCATGGTAGTGCTACGCGGATTTTCATTTATCTAAATACGCGAATCGGCGACAAACAAATGACGCAATAGCTTCACTTCCGGGACCAAAACAAGACGTTTCCAGTTTGACGTGGCCTTTGCGGAGTGTGGCTCGGAAAAGAAAGTGTGCACAAACTTCCCAGGCAATGCTGCTCGCCTGACAGGGCGCTACTCAGTAAGTTGAGCCGTTCTTTTCTTGATCTTTCTTAGGGTAGAATTTCACATTTTTCTGCAGACGAAAAAGCTGTGATCGGAAGCCCCGTCTTCTAGACTGCAGAAGGGTGGGGAGGGTCGACAGAAAGTTTTTCAGTTGGAAACTCGTCCAAGTGGAAGGACAAAAACAGCTATACGTAATCATTCTGCTGCAGCTCTGGTAGTTTTAATGTCGTGCTGGTGCTGGTTATTTTAGAGATCACGTTGTATATTGTATGTATGGTCATCATAAGGCGTTAGACGTCAAAACTATTGTGCATCTGGAACTGATAAAGTTGACCCAAATTTGTTAAAAATGACAAAGAACATAACGTTTAACTTGCGAGAAACGATATCACACAGCGTCGATATCACATAATTATGACACGTATTAAGTACAGGGATCGTGTATACACTTACTAAGTCTAGCAAAAATAGCCCACATCAATGTATTATGCATGGTATAAAATTATTACGCCGTGGCTATATACACTCCCGGTGTGTATATAAAAGACAAATAGATTTTATATACACTCCGAAATACTAGCCTCCTTGGTAGGCCCAAAACTTGGGTTTTTGTGAGTGTTTGAGGATTCAGGGGCACCAAGTTTAAACCTCGGTCTTCAAGTTTATCTTATTGGATGATGAAAACCAGAAAACGACACGGAAATCTCCACCGAAGTTCGGTCGAGCGGACCGCCCCGCCCCGCTTGCGCG